CTAATGTTCATGCATTTTTGAAGAGCAAATCATGAGCTATATTCATGAACTGTTCATGAATTTTCTCATGAACATTAAATGGCATAGTTCATGAAAATTGCTGTTCATGAATACTTCATGATCTTGTAATCATGAACATTTCACGAATCTTTCACGAATAATTCATGAATAATTCATGGTTAGCGTTTCATGAAGTCCTCATGAATTTTCATGAAGTGATTCATGAACACTTCATGGCGCAGTTCACGATCAATATGCATGAAATGTTCATGAACTGATTTAGATTTCTAAACTATTGGAAACCATATTATAACATAGTTCATGTAATATATGAACAACGAGAGCGAGTGTTTCACCGGGATATCCAAACACGAGAAAACAATGTATGAAAACACGAGCGCGAAGCGCGAGTGTTTTTATACATTGTTTTCGAGTGTTTGGATATCCCGGTGAGACACGAGCTCGAGTTGTTTATATGGCTTCTCAAATGAATCGAGACGTAACAGAATGTTTTCGTTTGCTGATTTGAATAGAATTCTTAACCAAGCATAACGTAATTAGGAATTCTATTCAAGTAATTTTGCATGCGTAATTAAGATATTTGATGAAAAACTAGTGACTTTCATCAAGTATCCAAATGGCATCTTGTGATCAAATATATAGGTGATTATCATTGGCTAATTTACTCATGAATTATTAATGAATTTGAGAAGTAAATACCACAACTCGGTCACTAATGTGGTAACAGTCTGTGACAACAATTTTCGCACATAATACAAACATATACAAAATTTGCAAACTTTGCAAGGCTATATTTTCCAAGCTTCACAACATTTCGCAATCAAATTCAGTTGCAATTTTACTAATTTCATTATGTTCTTTTTACTGCTGTTGTGTTTGATTCCCTTCTCTTCACTTAGATTAAAATTTAGTCTAACATGCAAGCTGTCCATTCTGCAACATTAAGATATTTTTGAGGCTGACATATTTTAATTTTTAACGTTGCAGAACTACAGAGTTGCCTGCGGAGGAGGCTAGGATATGCTATCCACTAGCTGGGAATTTTTAAAATCTATTTACAAAGGTATTTACAACACAATGTTTAGCAGTTTTAAAAAGACATTGAATCATTTGGCGACAAAAGACATGACATAATTAAGATTTACAAAGCAAGGTTCAGTTACTAGAATATCAAACCTCCCTTCTAAATTTCATTTTTCTTCCAATATTTTGCCTACATTTTAGAGAAAAGGGGGGATTTTCCCCCACAGTTATATACTAAAAAAAGTTAAAAACCCTGTATTCATGTATAATTTTAAATCCGCCATGTTTTCCATATTGTTGTTTCGCGAAGAATTCCAAGCCGTTCTCGTGCATGCGCAGAGAAATTGCACCTGCATGGCTATGTTAATGAAACACACACAAGAGACGCGCATTACAATAGCACCGGTCGGCATGTAGTCTAAAAGGTAGTAGTCGAAACACTTTGGTTTCCGAGGCATACACGACGCAATATTGGTGAGTGAATCTTTTAACACTTAGAACAATGAATTCAACAATGAACATGACGGACAGGATCAAGATCTAGAACAATCTCCGAGAACTACTGTAAAATCGGTTAACAATTTGGGAGTGCATGCATGTTTGGCGATGTACTAAATACTCTATGACAACCGTATTTTAGAATATTTAAACAGCGTAACTGTAAAATTATCTTCAGATCTCGTCGCTTACTTCCGTCTATAAATAAGTCTTTTTACATGGCGCACAAAACAGTTGTGCACTTGTGCTGTGTCACAAAAGGCAATAATGTGATTCATTTTTGAGAGGTTTGTCATTAATAGTCAAAGAGCTTTCCTATGTTTATAAACATTATTGACTGAGTAAACCAGAGTCAGCTGAATTTTGGGGTAGAGTTGTTTCAGTAAAATGGAGTATTAGTAGAAAAATATGTGATATGTTGCCTAACTGGTAGTTTCATGTGTTCTATATACTTCTATTTTTTATTCTGCAGTTAATTGTCCAGTCAAGCAACAAGAGACGCGCATTAAAAGCTAACCAGTCACAATAATAAGCTGCAGGTGGCATGCAGCCTCAAACACTTTGGCTTCAATTCTGAGGCATATACTACGACGCAATATTGAATCGGTGAGTGAATTTTAACTTTTAACATTGGAACAATTAATTAAACAGTGAACACGACGGACAGTCTCAATCTAAGATCTAGAACAGTCAGAGCAATCTCCGAGAATTAAAATTTTAACAGTTTGTCTATTGTTTATAGTGTAAAATACTCTATGGCAACCGCATTTTAGGACAATTCAATAGCTTAAAATTGTCTTCAAATCTCGCTTACTTCCATCTATAACTAATAATAACTCCGTTTGGCTTGGCATGCACACAAAACAGCTGTGCTGTGCCACAAAAGAAAAACACAAGACGGGCCAATCCTGGGGTAGAGTTGTTTCAGAAAATGGAAGATTTATAGAAAAATATGTGATATGATATACATTATTAGTATTATTTTAAACAAAGTTTAGTTGCCTAACTGCATGGTAGTTAATAGACATTAATTCCCATTATAGACTGAGTTTTAAAACTAGGCAAAGCGATGCAAATACATCACCACAGCTAGAAAGATTTGGTTGCGAAATGTTGTAAAATGCGGAAAATACAGCCTTGCAAATTTCGCAAATTTTGTATAGCCTACTTTTGTATTGCGTGCGGAAATTCCTACCACATTTGGGCCGAAAATGGTAGTAATTTTCGCACGCAATACAATAGTATACAAAATTTGCAAACTTTGCAAGGCTATATTTTCCGCATTTTACAACATTTCGCAACCAAACTTTGCAATTTTACTCATTTTAATGTTTTTTCTAGCTGTGGTGATTTATTTCCATCTCCTTGCCTAGTTTTAAAATTAGTCTTTTATGGGAATTGTCTATTGTGTTCTCCTTTTGATTCAGTTAATTTTTCAGTCAATATTATCCGGGAACTTGAGCATGTGCTTGTGGCCGCTACTGAATAACAATATTTAGCATATACTCGGAAGCATTGATATGTACTAAGACTCGGAAGATGGATAGTGCTTTTCACGCAATTTGATTGGTTGCTCAACTTTGTATATACTTGCACTATTCATCTCCGCACAAAAACAAAATGGCTTCCCGTTTCTTTCCGGTTATAGATAATAGCTATATCTCTCATTCCAGTAAAATGTACATTATAGTCGATGAAGTTTTATATATTTTAAATATTGTTGTAAATTTTTAAATACTTTAAATTTGTAATACCACTGTAATTCTTTTGCCAAAGGTGGTAAATAAAATCTATTATTATTACAGACGGTACACATTTTTGTACTAAACGAAGCTGCAGTTTCGCCAAACATAAAGAAAGCCACAAAGTGTTGTTTAACAGTGTATAGAGGTATTCCTTAAAGCTAATTCTAATGAATAAAAGTACAAAAAGCGTGTAGATACTGTTCTGTAATACAATTATTTCCGGAGCGGAAATGCAAATTTTTCAAAAAGATATTTTCGTTGTTTTTTTGGTCATTTTTGTTTTGTTATGGACCCTGTGGTGTATGCCAAAACAATCGTTCCGGGTTTAAGCCCCAGGGCGAGGGTACTACTTTAACCCGGATATATGAGAACATAGCGAAGCTAGTGCAAAGTCATACGCATGCACGTAACGAAAAAAGCGAATATAGCAAAGTGTTTGTGGGCAAAACGAGTTTTTCAATTTCCACAACACCAAGCAAAGTTTCGAAGCGTTTTCCCGTTTTATTTTACATTAGATTGAAACCTATTGAAACTAGCCAAATAACATAAAACCACAGGCTAGGTTTTGTATATCATTGATTCTTTAGTCAAAAAATGATCTCTTTTAATATTTTCTCATAATTTCATTTTCAAGTAATCATGGCAACCACTATTGTATACTTTGGTACACTTTGTTGGTGAATAGTGCAAGGATATTCACCTCAACGCTTCGCGTTTCGGTAAATATCCTTGCACTGTTCACCTCCACTTTCGTGAAAAATTATTAAATACCTGGTTTGCGAGGTTGATCCTTCTTCAATCCTGACTTTAAATAATTTCCTCCATGTACAGGTCGTCTCCTACCAACGTATATTCCTCCTGTACATGTACCTCCTCCTCTATAAGTTTTCCTCGAATTAACTCCTCTGTATCTTGCTATAAACAACATATTGCCCTTTGCCATGCTGATATACATGCGTAGTAACGTCCTTCCAATATTACTATTTCCAAAACCTTTTTCTTTTGAACATGAACAACCTTAATGAACGGATAAATTGAAAGGGTGTGAATTTGGCCGCTAGGCCGCTAATTCATGTGGTGTACTGATATGAGAAGGTGCATGTGTAGTCTTTTCAATCTAATCACACTATGCTGAGTGGAATGTCGAATATAAAAAGCTCTTTTATCCATTCATTGCCCCAGATTACTGCCGAGAATTTCAACGTTTTTCTCTTGAAGGCTAAAATTACGGAATTAATATCGGTATAACAAAGTTAATAATTTTCTCTTTCCTCCGCCTGTTCATAGCAATAATTAAGTATTCTGGCCTTTAGCCAATTTTAATCCTAAAATTAAAAGATCATTTCTACAGGCCAGTTTCCCTTTCTTTAATTTATCTTTATATTTTGTTCAAATTGTAATTGATGTCAGTAAAGGGAAAATTAAATTGTTGTTGTCATTGGATATATTGTGATGAAATACATAAATCTTATTTTACGACATTGTAGAGAATGGCTTCGTCTTCGGAAACTCAGAATGACCTAGCCAACGGTGCAAGACTAAGCCAACTTTTAGTAAATAAAGGGGTAGAAGCATTGAAAATGAAATTCAACAAGATACATCCTCCATCCACTTTACATGCAGTGTTAAACACAAATAAAGCAAAACTACAAAAACTGTGGCGCAAAAAGGTGATAAATCTTACACAATAGAAACTCTTATATCCTTCTTCAGGTCCGCCAGATTCGCAAAATTTTGATGTGACTTTGTTGACTGTACTTTTGCGAAACATTTGTGGATTGACCAGGCCAGCAAGAGGATGGGATGATTTGCCCCCAGATTCTGACACGTCCGTGGCAGCCAACATAGCGAGGATAAAATTTTATAGAAATCAGAATTATGCTCATATTATGACCACAGAGATTGCTGACAACGAGTTTGAGAATTTGTGGCTAAAAATATCTAAAGCATTGATTGGTCTTGGAATTCCCAAGTCTGAATTGAATGAATTAAAAGAAGCTCCTCTCAGTCCTCCTAAGCTGGGCAAATGTGATTTCAGTGGGATCAGAAGAAGTCTCAACAATAAGTTCTTACCAGGAACAAGGCAATGGCTTTTTGATGAACTGAGCTCTTGGTTTACTGATAAAAATTCTGATTCTACTGTAATGATTCTGACCGCAGGTCCGGGAGTTGGAAAGAGCGTTTTTGCAGCCGAGGTTTGCCGAATGTACGCCGAACAAGGACAGCTGGCAGCTTGTCATTTTTGCCAGTACGATACGTCAGCAGATTACAGAGATCCACGCATGATAATCGAGTCCTTGGCCAACATCATGCGCGACAATGTAAACGGTTTTAAAGCTAAACTTGATGATCAACTGCAAAGACGTCATTCCAGTAAAACACTATCAGATGCATTTCGTGTTCTTATAAACGATCCTCTGTGTGCCCTGGAAGAGCGCGAACCAATGCTATTGGTTATCGATGCACTGGATGAAAGCGCGGTTGCAGGAAAAAGTGACTTTCTGGAGTTAATTTCGGAAGAGTTTCCTAAACTACCCCAGTGGATCAAAATCTTGATCACAAGCAGACCAGAGTTACCAGTGAAAGAAGAATTGCAGCATCTCAATCCCGTGCAAATTACCCCTCGTGATGCGAAAAACGAACAAGATCTCTTGAAGTATCTTCGAAATTGTTTATCACCTATCTGCAATGATGACAAAGTCATTAAGTCATTAGCTTGGAAATGCGAAGGATCATTTCTTTTTGCGTATTACACTCAACTAGAGTTGAAGGAAACAACGAAACAGCTAACGATAGAAAACATTTTCGAACTTGTTCCCAAAGGCATAAGTGGTTTTTACAAAAAGCAATTTAAGCATTTAGAAAATCAACTCAATGACTTTGGTTCATCGGAAGTCAAGTTGAAGCGTTTTCTTCAAATCCTTGTTGCGGCTGAAGGTCCACTGCCATTGAGTTTATTGCCCGAGTGTCTAGGGTTGCCTGATGATATCAAGTACAAAGTACGTCAGTCAGTCATTGAAATCATGTCCTCGATTTTGCCTGTTTACGGCGATTGTTTAACTGTTTATCACAAGTCCCTTCGTGATTGGTTGGTGTCCGATGGTTATAAAGAACATGCTTTTACTGTTGATTCCCAACCTGGACATGAGTATTTATGGAGAGTTTGCAAGGAAGAGTTTGATCAAATTATTTCGTTGAGTACGTTCTCGTGCTCTAAGCCACGTTCGAAGACAAGATATGCTCTGACTCATGGAATTTCGCATATGATCCAATCAGACCAATCTGGCAGCAAAGGCAGTTACCATTTATCAGTTGATGTAAAAATAGTCCTTGCCAAGATCAATACTGATACACAGTATGGTAAAATGATGTCTGAATGGAAGCAAATTATTAATCATTCGCTTTCAAGTTTAAGCAGAGAATGTTTACAAGAGTTGAGCTGGCATATCTGGTTTTTCGAACGTTTTTGGCGCATGCCTCTATATTCCGTATCTTATTTACAATATGTAGCAAATAGAATCAATTTCAGTAATGAAACAAGATTACTTGCTAGATCATTGTTGGAACAGGGGCATTATATTTGGTTTGAAGATTTGGACGCTACAAAACTAACAAACCATTTTTGCAAGTCAATTTCCTTGCGATCGGATGTCACGTGTATGTGTGCATCATCCAACGAACAGCTTGTTGCAGCTGGATATAACGATGGATGGATTTCAATTTTCAGAGTGCCAGACTTCGAAGAAGTACACACTTTTGATACCATGCCGGAATCTAATGCTTATCGTTCCATGCACCTTGTATCTGATGAGCGTGACACTAAGAGCGTTTCTGGTGCTCCGTTGCGCTCCTGTTCATTTTCGCCATCAAGCGTCAGGCTGGTTACTTGCGATGCTTCAGAAAAGGTAAAGTTATGGGATGTTGACAGTGGGAACATGTTAGAACGATTGCAAGCTGGAGGTTCTGTTGATTGCTGCTCCTTCAGTGAATGTGGTTTGTTTATTATAGCGAACAAAAAGATGACAGATAAAAGAGATGTGTTCACTGTGTGGAATGCGTTAACCCTACAAAGAGTCGATCGACGCAATATTCGCAGTACTCAGCGAAGAGTGGGTCACCACAATCGTTGCAGTTCGTTTATGTTTCAACCCGATAGGAGTAATAATAACGATGATTATATTGAAGTATTTCAGTTACCCGATGAGCTTCCCGTTGCTAAGCTGTACGAAACATTACCCTTACCTCTCCTACCACTGGACACCACAAATGGATACCACTGGCGCAGCACTACACACTTCTGCTATTTCTGCATCTTCCACCATAACGATAAGTAATCAGTTGATCAGTTAGAGGAATTATTCCGAAGACATCCACTCCCGTGTGACTCGAAAGCAAGCAGACCTAATCCCGTTACAGTTCAAAAACTATACCTGGTGCCATTTGTTGACAAGTTAAATATCTTCAATCTTGCCGATCAGCCTTCAATGTCGATTCAGCCTCCGTTCGTTTCAGAAACGTATGTCATTTCGTGTTGCTGTTTCTCACCAGACGGCTTTTTTCTGGCAACTTGTGCAAATGGTGCTCCTCTTTCCATTCATATTTGGGACACAAAGCTTTGTGTTGTCATACAAGTCTTGCGATTCCCTCTGGAGCGCGCAAGGGGCTGCTGGTGGTCAGAAAGTATGCTTTGGATATATGATGGTGGTCTCGTGAAAATATCAATCTCCAACGGGCGAATTTTGGACACATCAGAAAATTCAGCCGCACGAAGGGTTAAGATCGATTGGAAACCCGCGAAATTGCTGACCTTTTCAGATGTGCTAATTTTCATTGACCAAGAGAATTTTGTCAATGTGGCAAGAATTAAGAACGGTGAGTTGCAGTATGTAGAGAAGTTGCCCGTTGATAACCCGATTCTATGTGCGGCAGTATCACCTTGTAACTCAATCATTCTTATGGCTACGGAATTAACCTTCCACGTATGGAAAGAGGATCAAACCTCACAACCTCTTCACTGGGTAGCTTCAAACACTGGAGAACTCCTTGATTTTCCTCGTGTGAAAGGCAGTGAAGAAATCGAAGACAGCGAAGACAGCGAAGATAGCGAAGACAGCGAAGAGAAAGTTTACTGCAAATGTTGCATCACAAGCGACAGCACTAAAGGAGTTTTAGCGTTGTATTTTCGCCTTGCCGCATCTGAGTATCCTCTACCATATTATTTCATTCTTGTCGATTTAAATTCGAAAATCACGACGAGGATGATTCCATGCACGACTCGCTTGATCTCAGAATTTAGCGAGATTTATGCCGGCAATTCTTATTGTATTGTTCTTGATAATTATCGTCCTGGGTTGGCAGCAGTAAAATTAGCAACAGGCGAATCCATAGCAGAATGGATGATTTCTCGTGAATTAGCAGCTGGCGAACCAATAGCAGAATTTACTATGACTTCTTGCGTGTTTCGTCGTTCTCAGTTCATTGTAGCGCATTCTAAAAATGATCTTGTTGCTGTTATTACAAGACGTCCTGCTAGTGTCGAGTTTGTGAAAATTGTCGTTTCAGAATGAATAATTTCTCGCTTTTCATATTGAAAACCTGACATTTACAACCGAAAGCAAATGCGGTTCCATCAATTTAAATAAGACCATCAGCAACTAATAACGTTTTGAGAGAATGGAAACGGACACTAGGGATGTTGTTCTTCCTGTTCATATAAAGACTTTAAAATTGACATCTGGTCAGTTTTGCGCATACTTTACGAAGTGACACAGCCTAGACATAGGGCTCAAAAACTATTTATCAGAATTTTTGAGCGTCTCACTCGATATAACTAATAGACCTTACCGTTTATTCACTTTTGACCCAATGGCCTCGTTTTCGTGCTTGCCAGTTTTGGCATAAAAGGCGCACATGAAGGTTATATACTTATATTCCCATGTTTCCTTCACGATTTGGTTCCTGGTTGATCTTAAGCCCAATAACAAGTAAGTTCTTAACCCTATTGTTCACAAAACACAAGTAAATACCTGACACGAAAACGAGGCCATTGGATCAAACATCAATAAACGGTAAGGTCTGTTGTTGAAAATATTTGTAGATGGAAATTTTGAGTGGAATTTTTATAGATTTATTAAACCTAACCAGGAGCAGTTGTAAAAAATACAACTATACACCCTCTGGCAGGAATCCAACCTGCGGCCCTGCGATTCCAGTGCAGCGCTCTAACCAACTGAGCTACAGAGTCCAGTTGTCGAGCTCTAACCAACTGAGCTACAGAGTCCAGTTGTCAAGCTCTAACCAACTGAGCTACAGAGTCCAGTTGTCAAGCTCTAACCAACTGAGCTACAGAGACCAGTTGTCGAGCTCTAATCAACTGAACTACAGAGAGACAGTTGTCAAGCTCTAACCAACTGAGCTACAGAGAGACAGTTGTCAAGCTCTAACCAACTGAGCTACAGAGAGACAGTTGTCGAGCTCTA